GAAGCTTTTTAATAAGATGAGATCCCAGTTGTTGATTCTTTCTGCTAGTTACCGTGCTACTGAGGATTTGTTCATAAAGTCTTTTCCTATGCCAATGTCTTCAAGAGTTCTGCCTAACTTACCTTCAAGCAAGTTTAGTGTTTCTGTTTTAATATTTAGATCTTTAATCCACTTGGATTTTAATTTAGTGCATGGTGAAAGATAAGGGTCCAGTTTTAATCTGTGGCAGGTTGAAATCCAGTTTTTCCAGCACCATTTATTAAAGAGGCCATCTTTCCTCCACTGAGGATGGTCAGCTCCTTTGTCAAAGATGAGGTAGCTGAGTACATCTGGATTTGCTTTTGTGTCTTCTAATCTGTTCCACTGATCCTCAGGTTTGTTTCTTTGCCAGTACCATGGTGTTTCTATTGCAGTGGCTTTGTAGTATAGTTTTACATTGGGAATTGTTATACCCGTTGCCATGTGTCTGTTGCCTAGGATGTCTTTTGCTATTCTAGGTCTTTTATGGTTTCAAATGAATTTTTGGATTCTTTTTTCTAGTTCTATGAAAAATAGTGTTGGAATTTCAATTGGCATTGCATTGAATCTGTATAGTAGGCTTGGTAGTAGGGCCATTTTCACTATGTTGATTCTTCCTACCCAGGAGCAGCAGACATCTTTCCATTTTTTAATATCCTCTTCAATTTGTTTTTTTAGAGTGCTATAGTTTTCAGTGTAGAGAACGTTTGCTTCCTTTGTTAGATTGATTCCTAGATACTTCATTTTATTGGATGCTATTTTAGAAGGAATTGTTTCCCTTATTTCTCTCTCAGTGAGTCTGTTATTTGTGTGTAGGAAGGCTGTTGATTTTTGGCGTGGTTGTGGGGAGAAAGGAACCCTTCTCCCTTCTTGGTGGGAGTGCAGACTGGTGCAACCACCGTGGAAATCAATATGGAGATACCTCAAAGAGCTTGGACTGGAGGTTCCATTTGACCCAGCCATCCCTCTGCTGGGTATCTTTCCAAAAGAACTAAAAGAATCATATCACAGTGATGTATGCGCACCCATGTTTATAGCGGCACAGTTTGTGATAGCTAAAACTTGGAAACAGCCCATTTGCCCATCAGTTGGAAACTGGATAAAGAAGATGTGGTTTTTCTATAAAATGGAATATTACTCAGCCATAAAGAATGAGAAAATAGATTGCAGTCATAGGAAAATGGATACATATTGAGGATACACTCCTAAGTGAAATAAATAAGGCACACATGTGTAAATATTGAATAGTTTCTCTGGTGTGAATAAACTGCAATAATACATAAAATCCTAATAAGATTACTGACATTTAGAAATGGGAAAAAAGAGCTAAAGGTGTAGGGAAGGTGGGACAGGTAGGGGAAGGGTAAAAAGGAAAAGAAAAAAATGTGAGATAATGAAAAGATAGAAATAAAGTGTTTGTAGATGGGGAGGGGAGGATGGGGTGAAGGGAGGGCAGGGACAAGGGGAAAAATAAGAACCAAGACTTGTCATGTAGAGGTACAAGATCCCAACAATGAATGTAACGGTACTGTATCCCTGAAATGTACCAATAAGCTCAAAGCTGAAAAAAAAAAAACTACAGTGAATATTTAAATTAAAAATTTGATTCACAGTAAAAGACAAATTGCCATTAATCCCCCTCATAATACTCCCCCTTTCTTTGAACACACTTATCCTATCTTTCTTGCCACTCTCTGAAGTAGTTCTGAAAGTGTTTTTTTGTATATTTTTGTGCCTCAACATCTTGGGTTGGCTCAAAAATATTTACAATGGTGTCTTCATCCATCTTATTCAGTGGATCGGGTAATGTGTCCCTTCTGATTCTTTCCCAAAGTCAAAATGACCATGAAAGGTAATATTTTGAATTGATTCAGAACATGAAGGCAGTCACAACAGTTTAACTAGATAATCATAGAAGAGGACTTCTATAGCTGCTTCAGAAAGTTGTAAGAATGGGATAAGTGTGTTCAAAGTGAGGGGGATTAATGAAGATGTGCCTTTTACTGTATAGATACGAAAAAAATATATTTTTTTTTATCATACCACATGGGTATTCTTTCAGCAGAAAAATCCTGTATTTTTGAGGAGAAAAAACTACAGTAAGTCCCTGACTTAAAGAACAATTGAATTGCGAACTTTCACAGATACAAATGGACCTTGCATTCGAACATTTGTAGATGTGAACAAATAAGCATGTAAGACTCACTTTGTTGGACTTACAAATGAATTCAATTTAGGAATGTTCTCCCAGAAAAGAGCTCATCCACAAGTCAGGCACTTACTGTATTATACAATTCCTTATGTAAATTTAAAAAATGACACACATCAACACAAATTTATTTCATAATTTTACTTCATCATAGCCTCACAGAGACCTAGAGACCAATAACAGAAAGCAGCAAGAACATGTAAGAAATAACTATTCCTCTATGTACCCTCATCTTTTTATAGAATCCATCTGACTAGCTATAAAGGAAATTCCCAGAAAAGAATCTGCATTAAACTGTTAAATTGACTATAATGAAATCATTTCTTGAATTTACAGGGGGCATGTTGAACCTTACCAATGGTAGCATTCCACTGGCCAGTTATCCAAACTCCACTGATTTTTAAAGAATGATTATACTGTTTCCACCCATGTCACCTTTTTCCTCAGATTCCAACTGAAAACTACAAACATAAGCTGGCTTACCTATTTTTTTAACTTCTTCAGCAAAGTATGGGTCATTGAAATCAACATCAGGGGGAAGTTCATCTTCACTGGCCTCTTCAGCAAGAGCCTTCAAGTTGAATATAAGCACATAGTTTCATTAGGAATTATAAGACATGTATATGATGAAAAAAATGTAGTTCAATTTAAAATTAAAAAGCCTTTTAAAATGGATGAGTTTATAAAATAACCTTGTATGACATTCTTTTGTTTACCTGACAGATAATTAAATACTTAATGCAGGAAATGATGTGCTGTTTTGGAAGAAATGAACATTATCAGGTACATGGTTTCTGTCCTCAAAAATTTTATAATCTATTAAACGTAATGAGACACACAAGACAGGTGCAAAATTCAAGATAAGACAGTGGTAGAAGACAAAAAAGGAGTACAGACATTCAAAAGATAATACTTTTACATGGGTAATTAATGCAGAGATGTGGCCTGATTTCTGATAAAATTGAGAAATGGCAATAACTCTTTTCAGCTTAAAGTTGTATACTGTAGGTTATCTCTTAAATGATTATTTAAAACCACTTATCTGCTGGTTAACTGAAGAAAATAATTTCTGTGATGAAATTTAAATCATATGCAAAACTAATAAGCAGTGTAACAAACTGTTCTCAAAACCATTATCAACAATTATCTTGCTTCATATATAATTTATCCTATTTATTTTTAAGTAAATTTGTGGGTTAAATTTTACTTAGTTAAATTTGAACTGCTACACTGTATAAATTAGGAAATCAAGATGCAGAATAAATAGGACATATCTGAACTAAGATCACACTAACCAAAACTTGATTGAAGTTATCTTCAGAAATCTAAAATACCTCTATATCATTTTAACAAAAATGTTTAGAATGTATTATTGCTAAAAATCATCCTGTATGCAAGATCTACTAGGTCCCAAAGAATATTCATTTTGACATTAATATCCCTTTAAAGACAAGTACTTCTTAGAATTTTTTCCACTGATCTATTAGTAGAAACATGTTTTTAATGATTATAGAATCCATATATCTATGTATCTATCTACTCATTGAATTTCTGTATAGATCTAAAATATCTAAGTAGATCAAAATGCTTAAATACCATGACACACATGTAAATATTTATTCTATTTATATCTTCAGTAATATTTTCTCAATATCAAAACTGATGTCATTCATTGAGGCAAAGGGGACAAATATTTTTTACTTGAACAAAATTCTTGAAACTCTTCTATATACAGAGAACTTGTGGAGCTGGATCTGTTGTAGTTCTTAGAACTAGTATAGAAGACTGACTCTAGGACACATTGAATACTCAAGAAATCTATTGTGAATGTTATTAGTAAAAGAAGTCTAGACCTATAGCCCAATAAAGAGAAAAAGTAAACATACATGATAAGCTCAAAGCTCTTACCACATGAAATCAAACAGAATAGCTGCTAAGAGTCTCTGGGTGACTAGTTTATTGACCCTATAAGGAATTATTTAAAAAATCATCCTAAAAACTGATAGCTTACTCATTGGTGGGATTATTCCATTCAAGATTTACTGCCCATTTTTTTTAAGGGCTACAGATGGAACCCAGGGACTCCTGCATGTGAGGCAAGAGTACTTTACATCTAAGCTACATCTTCAGGTCCATGACTAGTTTTAAAGGAAGTTCCAGGAACTACAATGGGCCAGGGCTTTTACTCTATTTCTTCATTGTACTACCCAGAAACTGTCAGTGGGGGCAAGGATTTTACTTTACTATCCATTTCCATAAACACTGATCACAATAAAAGTACAAAAATTAGTCCAAAGCAGCATTCAACTTTATAGCCCTTGCCTTTTTTCTCCTCTTTGAACTTCAGTCCCTTTCTCCTTTTGCTCGAGTACCTTTTTCCTTCACCTTCTTTTCCCTTTGCCCTTCTCCCTGTTTCTGCTACCATCCTGTGATCTTCAATAAATGTAGCTACTTACTACATATTCTGAGTGTACACTTGGCAGTTCTTTCCTTGGTGAACACAAGAGCCTGGACTATGTTTGGCCCACTCAACTGTATCATCTGTCAAGCCAAGCCAGGAGGACTCTACCAAACATTGGGAGATCACATCAGATACTGGAGGAGTCAGGAACCCAGAGACCTTCAGAGACCTTGGCAGAAGTGAGCAATCAGACAACCCAGCCAGCAAGGAAGGTCTAAAATACCATCAAACTACTGGTAACCATAATTCGAGATCAAAACCTGCTTTCAAGTCTACGGTCCCTCAAGAAATCTAGCAGCTGGGAAGCTAAAGAATAATATACGAATTGAGAAAAAAATAGCTAGTGCAGGCAAAGAAATCTATTCCAGTAGATACTGAAGTTTTCCTCTCAGGTCTGATTTTGCTGTCTTTAGAAAGATATTTCTATATCTTTACGTATCAGTGCTTCCTAATAACTGGGCAGAACTCTATATAGCACCAGGGTGTCTGGTTCTCAACCCCTCAGACCATGTTGAATTGAAACTGCCAACAACCAAGTGAACTTGACACTAGATTTATCCCCTCATGTGTCTATGGTCTCTCAGACACCTACATTACAGCCCCAGAAGAGCAGAGGACCTATGATCTGTGCAGGACTCCAGATGCACAATACTGCAATAAAAAATGTGTGTGTGTGTGTGTAGCTGCAAATTTTGTCATCTTTCTTATTCAATAGTTGTGGAATCTCACAACTTTTTTTTTTTTCAGATTTTAAACAGGGCCAATCTACTTTATTTAAATACAAACATCTAAAAAAACCAAATAACAATCTTTTGTTTTCTTGTCTCACTTCCTTTGCTTCTTCTAGTGCTTTCTGACTACCCCAAACTTCAAGAGACTTCTTCACAATTGTGAGTTTTAAGTAGCATTTCATATCACCCCACTGTGAATTATGAGGATTCTTCTTCACAATAAACTTAAGAGCTGGTTCTCTTTCCTCTAGATCACAGTCTTTTAGAAGATATTCTTGCTTTGCTTCTGTTTTAGTACTAAGCTTATCTTTCTCATCAGGGTCTCTGTAGTTAACACAAGTTGCCAAATCAAAGTGATTTATAAGATAGGAATCCATACATTCTTTTCCACATTCTGCACATATTGTATAATCAAATTCCCTAACTGGTCCTGGTTGATGAACAATGTTTCCACTTTTATGTACTTCTTATTCTGCTTACAAAATGAAGCCCCCTCCTGTATCAATTATTTTGGGGGCTGCTTTTACATTTGTAATCCCTTCAGTAGCCTCCAACTCTATCGCCGGGTAGGGCTGGGCCGCTAGCCCGGCCTGAAGCAGCATCAGTGCCTGCTACTGCAGGCTCTGGCAATGCTGCCTCAACTGCCGCCATCTCTGACCTATCCCTCTGTGCTAGATGGAGCCCACCACAACTTCTGACAATGACTCAGAGCCAAAATGGCCACTGATCACGGGGTTCTGATTGTGACGAGGCCCAGGGAAGCGCTGTCCTAAAGCATGTGTTCATGAGATTAATTTAAAATATGGAGTGTGGCAATTTTCCTGGGCTGTTAACAGAGATCCTGGATCCACCAGGATCCTTTAATCTCTGAAAGCTTCCAAGTCCATCCCCAGTTCTTTAGTATTAACAAAAACACAGAGATTCATTTAAAAAACGAAAATACAGAGAAGTTCCTCTGTGGAATGGAGCTTCTACTGACTTCATAGAAAATCCATTTCTTGGAATGTGGACACTTTGAAAGCATTTTGTGAGGTGAATCATAAAAGTCACTGACGGGAGAAACCAGGCCAAGTGTGTCACAATTTCAGGAATGGGAGTCATTAGATGAAGACTTCTCACAAGAATTTGCCACACAGGTTCACACTGAAGGTACCTCCTTCAGCTCTGGTTTATTCTCTCTCTTCTCTCCTCTTCTTCTCTCCCTCCCTTTCCCTCTCCCTTGTCTGTCTGTCTGTCTGTCTGTCTGTCTATCTATCTATCTATCATCTATCTATGCTTCTACTTTAAGCTCCTTTAAAGAATGTAGAGCACTACTCTGATATTTACTAGCACTAATGATAATGCTGTTCACGATTTCTTATCCCCTATTTTATGCCAGGTATGGTGTTAAGTAGCCAACATGGACTGCCTTAGAAAACATGTTTTCAAAGGACCATGCCTAATAATAATCATGATTTACCATTTCACAAGGGGGAAAACAGGCTGGCAGACATGACTTGCATACAGTCACAGAGCCATACAGAAGTGGATAGGAAAATAAGTAACCAAGTTTGACCAACAAGCTATTTGGTAAATTCAGAATTGATTGTCTCATCACACAACAGGAGAACTCTTGGAAACTGGTGCCTGGTTTCCTGTGAACCCTGCCTGCCTTTTCCCTTTACTGATTTTCCTGACTCTTTCCCTCTAATAAATAGTTACCATAGGAGTTAGGAGTATAGTGTAGCTCAGTGGGTCTGTAGTAGACTGTAGGCATGCTTAGTCTTCAGAAGGCCCTGGGTTCAATTCGCAGCACTATGACCACCACAACCCCCAATAAAAACAAATTTTTTTTAAAAATCACAATACCAACACATATAAACAGTGTATAGAGAAACAAATAATACAGAGCAGTAGTAAGAAGAAGAGATTTCTTAGCCCAAATGGCCATTTTGGCCTCCAGTAAGATCATGGATTCTAGTCTCATATTATCCATCAGCAAACTGGAAAATCATTTAATATTCTACAATTATAAATAGAATTGGATAAAAACTAACCATACAAATTCCAAGTTGTAACATTTGTGATTATCAGTGATAACATTGTAAAGCAATGACACTACTGCTAGAATAACCCACACGAATGACTAGTATAATGTTTTTAGTGGCAAAAATCTAATACTAAGAGGGCCGGGGATTTAGCTCAGCGGTTCGGTGGCCTGCCTTGCAAGTGCAAGGACCCAAGTTCAAACCTCGGTACAAAAAAAAAAAAAAAACCAAAACCAAAACCAAAACCAAAACCAAAAAAAAACTAATACTAAGGATTCAAACTCTGGAAAATACAATTTCCCTTGATCAATGTCAGTAAATCATACATCCCATAGATACCATATTAACACAGAAAAAGTATTTCTGATGAATGCATTTAATGATAATAACTTACTGAAAAAGCCATGTAATACTGAAAGGTGAAAAATGCATGTTAAGAAATAGAAATGTACATCATAAATCCACAATGTTAAAAACTTCCAAACACATATATCCTTAAAAGTCTGTAGGGCACCTCTCTTCTTTAAATACATAGAATGGAACTGTACTGCTTTACATCAAGATGTACTGACTAACCAATATTTTTTATTCAGATAGCAGGTCAGGTAAACTACTACAGAATAGTGGTTGAAGAGGCTCTGGGATCTTAGCAGAACTGTACACCACTATGTGGCCTTCCAGAAAATAACCGCTGTATTTTTGCCTCTCATTTCAGAAAACTGAACGCATAAAAAGGGCTACTCCAGTGAGTGATCACATTTTGAGATAATGGATGGTAAGCATCTGGTACTTTTTGATAAACAGATGGCACTCAATAAATTTCAAAATTATCTCTAATACCTTCTGTTTCTTTTTCAGTCTTTTTTTCTCTTTCTTCTTCTCTAAAAATTGTTCCCAAGGTGTCAGTTTATCTTTTCCTTCCAATTTGTTTTTCACCATCTCTTCAGCACTTTCTTTAAGGCCTAGGAAAAAAACAAGTTCAGTTTAAAATGTTTTATGTTTAATCACTTAAAAGTTTACAAAAACAAATGTAATTTATGCATGTTTAATATAATAACAAGATAATATGCAATATACAGCACAATTACAGGGAATCAACATTTATAAAAGCGATTTTTTTAAATAACAAAGGTTAAATCAAGAAACACACACACACAACATGATACACTACTAAGGCACGAAAGAAAATCCTCTAGGTTCAAACTTCATTTCTCTAAGAAACATTCTAGAGTGAATAAGTCTCAGGATATGACTACTAATTAATTTAATAAAAATTATCTCCACTTGTTTTTGTCACCCAAATGAAAGCCTGTGTTCCCTGGCAACTTTAGGGATTAACTAAAATTAGTAAGGCAATCCTCACTGAAACACCCCCAGGTGGGCTGGGGGTTTAGCTCAATGGTTCTGCTGCCTATCCTGCAAGTGCAAGGTCCTGAGTTTGATCCCCAGTACAAAAAACCAAAAAACAAAATACCCCCAGGTGGAAAAGAATTCTCACAACCTGTCTTCAAGCATTCTGTGAGACCATATGGTTAAGATCAAAAAGGACCACCAACTTCACATTCTACTTTGTGTGTTTTAGTGTTGTTATTTGTTCTTATATTTCATCTATAAAGATCTTGCTCCTGTAATATTTTTAGGTATCTTGTACATTTCTTCATTCTGTAGGTCAAATGAGGATTTTTTGATATACAGTAAGTCCCAATTTATAAATGAGTTCTGTTTCAGGAGCATGTTCAGAAGTCAAACTTGTTCATTATCTGACAAAGTGAATCTTATACACCTGTGAAAGTCTGCAACTTGAATGTTAAGTTGGGGACTTACTGTATTCGATAATAGTATAGAAGATAAACAGGAGTTCAAATTTTAGCTGTGTAGCTTCCTAGGTGTGTTCTTAGGCTAGTTATTCAATGTTCTAAGTGTCTGCTTACTCTGCATCAAAAAATCAGAATTTTAGTATCCTTAAGATTGTTTCTAATTTCACAGCACTTAGAATGTATCTGAGAAAATGACCTGGATTAACCAAGTCTCTCTTAAAAAGACCATTTCAAATCATTTATTATTCTTTAAAAACAGATTTTATGTTATTTAAATATTTGAAGCCCTACCCTGTCTGCACCCAAAATGTTCTCTGGAACACTGAACAAATCTATACCTTCACTGTCCAAGGGGACAGCAAAGTGGTTACATTTCCTCCACCTTAAAGTATTAAGGGTCTACAAGAATTGGTCAGCCGTGGGGATTTTCTTCATACTGTCTCGTCCCATTCTACTTTGGGCCTTTAGTTCCTTAATGCAAAATGAGGCTGGTATAGATGGGAAGTACACTATCCCTCCCACCCACATGCACCATTTACCCCCTCTCAGAGTATCTGTCGAAAGTCCAAATATATAAAAAAGTAACTGCAGTGCTTTTAGACATTAAATCCCAAACAATAGTTTGAAAAATCTAGAACAGATGATCTCTAAGGTCCCTTTCTTTGCATTTTAAGACAAAACTTTAATCTCCACATTTTTAAGACTTAGAAAAGCATTACTTTACATATACATTCAAGGCTACGCAGATTTGTTCTTATGACATACTGCTGGTAGGATCTGATTTATTAGATGCCAAGTCAGAAATACCTCTTTCAATTAAAAAAATTTCCTATGAGAAAAACATAATTCACTTTACTAAAATTTTTAAGAGAAATGTGTACATGTGCAAACCTCTGAATGTTTCAGTGTAAGTATAAATTCAGATTCTCAATTCAGAGGAAGCAGCAACTTCTGACAAAATAAGTTGACTTCAAGTAACAAAATGAATTTATATGCAATGTCTGTAAGTCAGCACACAGTCCAACCTCAAATTTCAAATGCATAGAACTGTATTTTATTATTAGATGATATTTAAATAATTATCTTTATGGCATTCTATAATTTCCATATACATTTAGAAAACTTTTATTACCTCAAAATATAAAGTTTGATTTTTTTTCAGCCCCGAAATTTTTTGTTTAACTTTGATCCTTGAAATTGAAAACTCTACTTTTAGCTCAGCACAATGGTGTAGAAGGTTCTGTATTATCTCCTGTACGTGACTAGAGCACTGGTATGATGTCTTTTAGCCCAGGGAGCTACAGATACCAAGAGAATTTGATGAAAGCTACAGATGCTGGAACACTATGTTGATAAAAAATTCCATGAAATGTTCTGAAAGTTTTTGAATATACAGTAATCATACATAAGGATTTCAGGACCTCAGGCAAAGAACACTGACAGCAGCTGAACAATCCAGAAGGAAGTGACAGTCCATCTTGTACAACTTCAGAACTTACTGGCACTGTCATTTGTAGATTCAGGCTTTGTTAATTTTAGGTCTGCTGCCACTTTGGACTGGATAATTCTTTGATGTAAAGGGTTACTGTGTGAATTTTGAGGTCTAACAACATCTTCAGTGATGCCAATAGCTAATCTGTGACAATCAAAAATGCCTCCAATATCCTTCAGGGGAACAAAATCAGCACTAGTTGAAAACAACTGTTCTAGACAATGATTAGATGTCATTTCTGAAAAGTGGGGCTATATAATTATGTGTATTACATAAGCAATGCATTATTTGGTACTTGCTTACATAATATCCTTCTACTTTATAAGTTTCATCTGAATATGACTTCTCTTCTAACTAGACAAGCAGCCTAAGGCCATCTTCTTTTATATTCTATATTTAGTGTAGTGCTAGACACATACTAAGTACTTAATAAACACTTAATTGATCTGTTTTGAAGGAAGGATGCCTATTTCAAGCCAAGTGTTTGATCTTTCATGTTTGGAACATATTCTCTCCAACAGAAAATGAATCAAAACTTAGGGTCTTTATCCCAAGAGGCTCATCTGTTTTTTTAATTATTATTATTATTACTATTAAAGAAAAAGACCTATAGTTCTAGAATAATTCATGAAATATTTATTCTTAAAATATTTTTTTTGGTATTTAATTTGTTTAAAAATAAAGAAACTATCTTAAGTTTAATACACACTAATTATTTTTTTGGGGGGGCCTGGCTCTCCCTTAATACACCAAAATAGGAGAATGACAAACACATTGCAATGAATTACCACACCACCATGATAATTTAAAAATGCTTTGTTCTCATTATCATCATGAGGTCATTTAAATTTCTTGCCACAGATCATAGCTATTTATGTTCTAAGTTCTTAAAAATATGCCCATCCCAGAAGCCTTTTGGTAAATGCAGAAGAACATTCTTCAGAGACAGTTTTTAACTTCATTTGAGAGAAGCCACTATGTGATCAAAAAAAAACTTACTGTTAACTGTTATTAGCTTTGCACAATTTTGTCCTAAATTTTTAAAGTGTATAGCCAAGGACTGCTGAATTATTAAGAATACAGAAATAATCCTACAAATAAGGGATAAAATCAACTGCAAACAAAAGTGACTCAATTATGACAATAATAATTTAAGCACAATCCATTCAGAGTTATTCTGGTGGTTTGCATACAAAAAGTAGTCATGAATATCTTTATAAAATCCACTAACACAAGATTATACATTCCTCCTGACCGTACTCATGAAATACTTGAAAAGTCTTCAAAGGGCAGAACATAAATAATTCATTTAGGTACTATAATTGGCTTTGTTTATAAAAATAAAATGCAGATTTTACGATTTCTGATATAGGCTGAAACCAGGACATTATTTAAATGAAGACAAGTTTTACTGAGAGTATTTATGAACACGTATGGCTCAATTTTTAGAAATAGTCGTATGTTTTAAAGCAGATGGTGTAACAATTTCAAAAGCTTTTAAAAAATGTAACTAACCACCATCACTACCACCGAAACTCCAAACTTGGAATTCATTCTGGGTACAAGGCTCTATAGAGGAAAATCACCAGACATGTTCTCTAGAACACTGATATCAGAGGCAACCCTTCAAACTAGGCTGTTATTCTCAATGGTGTGGGGAGAAAAGGAAGGGCATATTACTCACATAACAAGAGTCAAAGTATACCTTGCTTAGACAGGTGAAGGGGATCATTGTGCCATTTTCCCCCATCATATAGTTAGGTGACTGTGTATTCTTGATATCCTTAAAGTATATCAGATAAGCCAAATTATTAATCTTTCTAATGAGAAAGAAGATTTGAAGTATTTTGAACTTGGCTCAGGATTTCTTATTTGAACTTCATAAATCTTTCCTAAATTCTTACAATGTTATGTTCTTCTGTCCTCTATTTGTCACAGTTTAAAATTTTATATTTATGTAAACTAAAAAAAAATGATCACTGGCAATAATTACTAGGTTGAAAGCTCCATGAGGGCAGAGGCCACAGCTCGTTTGCCTGTGAAGGCAACTAGTGGTTGGTTAGTGGAAGGCCTGGTATACAACAAACATCTTGAAAATGTTTGTTGAATGAAAGAGCAAATTAGGGCCAGGGATTTAGCTCATGGGTGCCATACTAGCCTCAAGGTCCTGAGTTTAATCCTGGTACCAGAAAAGAAAAAAAAAAAAAAAAAAAAAAAAAAAAAAGAGGCAATAAAAGCAAATTTGTTTCCAACTGATGGGTTGGGAGCAACACTGATGAAATTTAAAGTACACAAGTATATAGCAAAAACAAGCAATTAGTTATGGCCAATAAATGCTCTTTGTTGCATTTAATATTGGTAGAATACTATTACATATACTACATGGAAGCAACACAGGCAGCTAAAATGTGAAAAATAAGGATAAGAAGTTATAGACAAATTGGGTGTTGTGAGGCCTGCCTGTGATCTGCCAGCTACTCGGGAGCCCGAGGCAGGAAGATGGCAAGTCCTGAGCTAACATGGGAACTTAGATCCTGTGTCAAAAAATTTTTTAAAGGGCTGCAGACATAGCTCAGTGGCTGAGTACTTGTAGAGTGAGCCCTGGGTTCAAGCTCCATTACTGCACTTGAAAAAAAAAAGTTAAAGGTAGGATGCTCAGGAATGATTTCCTAACCTGTTAATTCTGAATCTGTTAAAACCTTCTGTGAAATATTCATAGAGGGTAGAGACACAACACTCACTGAATACATAAATATAAACACTTTGTTGTTGATTGCCTGATAGCCTGTTTTTCTGGATAGAAAGTTTCATATTTGTATTAAATTTCTGCTTATCTTACTCTACCCTTTCCAAATCTCCTTTCATTCTCCTTAAAATACTTTCCACTTGCAACTATGTTCAGTTTCCTACACATCAAAACTGTCTATGCTTCTCAGAATCAAATCTTCCTAAAAAGCTGATTTCAAGTACAAGGCAATAATTGGACTTCATTTGGGAACTAATGTTTCCTGTATTTGCCTGCACTTTATTTGAATACTTTCTTTGCCTTTCAAGCAGTTTGTAATCACCTAGTAATACTAATAAGACTATAAGCCTGGTCAAGTGTGGTGAGATTGTTCTGCTAATTAATTTACGGTCAAAAGGATGAAGAACTACTTGTTCTTTTGTTATTATTATTGTTTTTTCGTACCAGGAATTGAACTCAGGGCCTCATGCTTACCAGGCAGGTGCTGCATTGACTAGCTACATTCCCAGCATTTCTATTATTATCTTTAAATGTGTAGGGACAAGGTAGAAAATAAATCAAAACTTTTAAATGAATGGCTAAGATATAAGTAAACAAATGGAATTTCCAGTCCAGTGGTAACAAGAAGGGTGAAACCGAAATACTAAACTAGCTCAGAAGCAGGGAGTTTTCCTTGGGGACATACACAAACTCACTATGGTCTAGTATGGATTTGGGGTTGTTATGGGCAGCTGGCCAAGGAGGCAGGAGACATTTAGAGTCTGAGCATGGTGGGAGGTCCCACCAGAGACCACTGTATAAAGCCAGTATCCTTAAGTATGCCCTAGTGGATGGATGATGCCCTCCCTCCTACAATTGAGAGGGAATACATGCCTGTTTAGGTTTTGGATATGGTTAGAGCAAGGGAAATAAAAATACATTTCCCCCCAAGAGAATTTATAACCACAAGCCCACAAATCCATGGTTTGTGGTTGGAATTCACACTACTTGTGTGGCCCCAAATACTTCAATCCAAAAATTCAGTTTCAATAGGTCTTGGATTAGAAATGCCCTTACGCACCTGGCAAATACTCTCTAAAAGAAGCACTTTTGACCCAGGCCCCTGAGAATTTCCAGAAGAAAACAAAGACCCAAGACAGTGATCAAAATCAAAATTCACTAGGGCCAGGATTTAGCTCAGTGGTGCCTGCCACCTGCCTTGTAAGTGCAAGGTCTCAAGTTCCATCCCTGGTACCAAAAAAAAAAAAAAAAAAATCAAAATTCACGATGGGCAGCTACTAAGATGACAATACCAGGTGCCTACTGAAGGCCTTTAGATAGACCCTCTGTAGAGTGACTCTAACTGCTGATTACAATGACCCTCTTCAGCTGGAAGTAGCCAGAACAGTCTTTGCCCTTTGCCCACACACAGCAGTTAGGGGGTACTTCTTCAGAGGGTAGAATACTGCAGATAGGTAAGTTAATTAGATATCTTGTAGGCAGTTACACAGGGCCACCCTCAAGGAGCCAACATGGAGGACAATCAAGACACCTTCACCGAAGGCCAGAATTGTAAAAGTTGAGAAACCACTATACCTTTGCACTTCCCTTGGGGATAAATAGCAGTAACTGATATTCTAAAGAGGTTTCAATCACCTGGGGGGGGCAAGGTGTTACTTAACCCAGCCTTTCCAGGAAATATCCCTGACCCTCACCCTTAATGAAAATCCTTGTATACTTGCTATGTTGCTTGCTCCCCCATAGGACCCCCATTTAATCAATATTACCTGGGAGACTGAACTTGTAATCTTATTGGTTGGTCATGGTTTTGCCCCGCTTCATAATTTTCCATTGGGTCTTGTAGTTTTTTTTGGTACCAGGGATCGAATCCAGGTCCTTGTGCTTACCCCGCAGGCCAGGCAGGCGGTGGAACCACTGGGCTAAATCCCTAGCTAGATGCATTACACTACAACTCTGTAACAGTAAACACAGTACATCTTAAAAGCCAAGAACCTAAGAGCATTGTGGAGCAAGGTCACACTTTATGCTCTTAATTTATCTAGTTCTATGAATGTAGTACTGGGTCAGGAATATGCAAACAAATTAACCAGCAAAATAGAGAACTAAGCAACAGATCCATGCAGTTATGAAACTTTGATACATGACAGAGGTGACATACAGATTCCGAGGGGAAGGGAAAGATTATTCAATACACTGAACAGGAAAAAATAGCTTTTCTATGTGGCACAGATGGAAGTAGATCCCTATCTCATATAATCAACTCTGGATAGATCAAGGATTTAAGTGTCATTTTTTTACTAGAAAATAAAGAGGAATATAAGAAAAGGAAAAAATTTCTGGGTGTGGTGGCACACGCCTGTAATCCCAGCACTTGGGAGGCTGAGGCAGGAGGTTCACTGTGAGTTCGAGACCAGCCTGGGCTACACAGTGAGTTCCAGGTTAGTCTCAACTACATAGTGAGACCCTGTCACAAACAAACAAACAAACAAACACAAAGGAAAGGGAAAAATCAAAACAAAGTCTTTGTAAATAGGGAAGGGTGGAGGTGGTAAAGGGAGGGGAGGAGAATGGTGAAAAAATAAGAGCCAAGAACTATGGTGAATGTAACTGTATTGTATACCTAAAATGTACCAATAAACTTAATGGGGAAAAAAAAGAAAATAAAGAGGTACACTGCTCTCATTTGTATAAAAAAAATTTTCTTAAATGAAACCCAAAACTACTAACCATAAAAGATAAAAGATAAATTTGACTGCATTAAAATCAATTTCTCTGTTGTGAGCTGATGAAGAAAATAGGAGTATTATAAACTAGAAGGCAGTTGGTATCTTACAATACACAAAGGCTTAGTATCAAAGCAAAATAAAGAAGTCCTAAAACCCAACTGCAACAGAAAAATGGTCAAAAGACACCTCTTAAGTACTGAATTATGGAAAAAACATATAGTTCAATCTCTTTAGTAGTAAGAGAAGTACATACAAATAAAGCACTGCTGTTGGGAATGTAAAGTAATACCACTACACTTTTTAAGTCAAACATTCACATCTTATGATCCAGCAATTATATTCCTAAATGTCCAGTAAAACTTAAACACAATGAACGCGTGCTAGGAGACAAGTTCCAGAATACCCTAAACATGAAAAGTGTGTATTAACAGAACGAACACTTAAACCATGGTTCAAATAGTGTACTGTCTGTCTTTAGTAAGGGTGGGTGGATTAGCTCTCATCAAAATGTGTATATTTGTGCACAAATGATAAACACTCAGATTGGGAAAAGCACTAAACTAAGAGGCCAGTCTCCAGATTTAAGAAGTAACTTAGGTACATATCCTGTAAAAATTTTCAATGGGTTAAAAGATTTAAAGGTCTAAATTATAGTTTTCTCTCTTAGCTTTATGATCTTGAGCCAGTCTGTGCCTCTGTTTTCTCTTCTGCAAAATACGGCATAATCACTGAAGAATTTAATATTATTTATAAAGCACCCTGCACAGTTCCTGATAAGTCATAGGGATCCAATAAATACAAGTTTCTCCTCCTTTCTCCAAGAGGGTATTTTAAAATATAATTTTAATTTTATATTGAAATTATGTATCTAAAAAATGACTAAAACATTTTAATCTTCCTATGTTTTTATAGAAAGAGTGAGCAATAGGAACCAAACACGAAATATGTCTTATAACAATCTAAACTGACAACGCTTAAGAAAAGATTGGTTAAGCCCTACAAAGACAGCCTTACCAAATAATGCAAGCCAATTCTTAGGGAAGGATATGCCTTCAAAGTACATGTTTCAGTTTACTAAGACACATCACTCCAAACACCAAAGGGACCTCATCCAAGTCAAATTAGTGGTATTCATCTCTAGGCATATATAAGATCAGATTTTTAAGTTTATGCCAAATAATTTTACAGATAAAAGTTTTCCATGTCCCTGAAGAATAGACTGAGAGTTCATTTGGACCTCAAAGCTGAAAATCATTATTACATTATAGTCAGTGAGCAAATGTCTATAATGACCTAACCAAAAAGACACAGGAAAAGGCGGCAAATCTTTCAGGGCACAACAATATGGCATATGGTGTTACAGCAGGATTAAGTTTTAGGCCAAACCAAAGGTCTATCCTCTATGAGGCTTCACAATCTAAATATACTATAGAAAGGAGATTTGGTTTTGTGTATATTTTTATCACGGTTTCTGATACTTTAGAAATTAAAAGTTCCTCAATTAATATTGTAAAATAATAGAACCCTTTCAAAAAACAGTATCTTATAAGAGAAATGAAATGTTCTACTTTTAAGAATTTTACCTCTAAAACTTTGATAAAAGGTTATTATGGTTTGCATAATAACAAAATATAAAGAACCTAAAGCATAACACCAAGAGAGTGATTTTTACTCATTTTATTTTTGGTATATGTCTGCAATGCATAATCATTACATTCATCTTGGGGAATTTCTATATATGATACAAAGTGTGATAAATACAGTCAATGTTTAAGTCTTTTACAAAACTTAGTACAGTAAAAGACACATTGCACTTAGTCTACCTCAAAAATCTAAAAATATTTCTCTTCATTTTTAACACACTAATACCACCATTCTTGCCACTTTCTAAAACAGTTCTGGAAGTTCTCTTTCCTAAATATTTTTAGTTGTGCTGTTGTGGCTGCCTCCATGTCAATTCAAAACATTTACCTTTTACGATTATTTTGATTTTGGGGAAGAGCCAGAGGTCTCACGGTGTCAGATCTGGTGAACTGATGAGGACAGACCGATGTTTTTATGAGCCTGCCTTCCTGTTGGATGGTACTCAGCAGTATCATTCACTGCTTTTTTGATCACATGTGGTAAATATACCCACAAAAGAGGACTTCCAGAACTGCTGCAGAAAATGGCAAGAATTATAGGATAAGTGTGTTAAAAAAAGAAGAGTATTCTGAGGGGGATTAATGGCAATGTATCTCTTACTGTTAAAGAAAAAAGAAACCATTCACCTTTTTGGTCACCTGTTGTACATAACTCATCTTGGTCATTTTTTATTTCTCCTTACCTGACCTTTAAGGTATTTTTGGTTCTTTGAGACTCACTAAGTAGTTCAGGCTGGCCCTGAACTCACTACATATCCCAAGATGACTTTGAATTTACAGCAATTGTCCTGCCCTAACCTCCTGAGTGCTGAGATTACAGGTGTGCAGTACCATACCCAGCTTCCAAGATTTTACCAATCAGGAATACAATACAATGTCAAACAAATATTATGGATATAAAGGCAATCTACAAACACATAAAACAAAATATGATAAATGAAATTTGAAAAGTAAAATGTAAAACTAGAGTATAATAAACTATATGCATTTGTAGACAACGTAAAAATGAATGTGTTAAAGTAGTAAACTTATGGGTTATGACTTCAATTTTAGAAAAAAGGACAATAATGATGCAATAGTTGAAAAGTCACCTAAGTGAATTCTATCAAAGTAACATATGGAACATGTATGAAGAAAGATGGCAGTTTGCTGGTCAGGAAGGTAGCACAGATACAATGTTGAACACCACAAGTAGAGCAGGCAAAAGTTCTGCTTCAAATACCAGAGAATTCACAATTTCAAACAGATCAGCTGTGGGCTGTAGGGGAGGATTACATACAGCAAATTCTCTTTTGTTGAACTGAATATAACTCTACGGCAAAGTTAAAAAAATCAAAACAAAACACTATATGGTTTGGAAATAGTGCCTACAGATCCCACGTAGTACTACTGGTATGAGATATGAGCAGAGAAGGCAGGACTGCATTACAGAAGTCATTCTAGATGCTTGTAACTAAAGGCCCTTATTTAAAAGGGATTCTAGGTAGGCAAAAGAAAGAGACTGATTAATCTTGAAATCCTTAAGGTCTGGGGATTTTAGCATCTTCTGAAACAATATAAAGCTATCTTTAGTTTTTGCTTAAAGTTTTAAACTTCTTGGAAAATCTTTTTAAAAAATTCTCAGTATTACTAAAAGAGAAAGTAATCTTTAAATATTCCAGGAGACACTGAGAAATTTTACTAGCAACTCTGTAGAGGAAATGTGCTAGCAACAATTTTTGATAACTCTAGCTGCTTCTCATTTTTTTTATTATACATTCCATACGATTCCAATGTTTTGCATAGAATGAAGTTTCAGCGTTATTACCTTACAAAGCCATTATAGTGAACCTGTTAAATGGATGACTCATGGAAGGATGGAAGGAGCACACACTTAAGCTTTAAAATTGTAGTCACTAGCTGGGTGTGGTGGTGCAGGCTATAATCACAGCACTCAGGAGGCTGAGACAGGAAGATTGCTGTGAATTTGAGGCCAAAGTGGGGTACATAGAGAAGTCAAGAGATCAAGGCCAATCTGAACTAAACAGGGAGACTCTGTCTCAAAAAAAAAAAAATCTAGTCATTTAATAGCTGTGTGTCTTTGTACAAACTATAATAGTGCACTGGGGTGACCTAGTAACCCCCATCACCAAAAAGAAGACAAACTAAATTCTTTGAGCTTATTTTTAAGTTCAGATTTTCCATTTAATGCCTTCCTTTAAACTCAACTCAAAATTTAAACATCTGGTTATTTTAAAAGTTCTGACCAAAAAATATTTTTGTGAATATATTTCAAATAATGAATACATTGGCAATAAATGAAAACAGAGATATAGCCAAAAGTAAATAGTGAACAGGTTTTAAGATGTCTGAAAATTAAAATGTTTGGAGTGGGCTTGCTTACCAAAATGAATGCAAGAGTGATTCAAAAACATTAAAAAAAAAAAAAAGAATGAATATACAATAGTCATATAATCATGTCCCTAGTGTCTGTGCATTTAAGCTTTCCAATGGAAGCATTAACAGAGGAATAGAAATGAAATAAAGAAGGGAAAAAAAGAACAAAGGCCAAAGAGCAGCTGCCAAAATAAATTTGGGATTGCAATTATAGAGTGAAGAAAAGAGAAATCAAAGCAACAGAGGGAAGTCAAGAATGGACTCAGTTTGCTGGGTAAGACATGAGTCCTTTTCTTCCCCTTTAGGTTGTATACCTCCTGGCCTCCATGTATCCAAGAACTTGGTATTCCTGACAAGATCTTCCTCATGAAATACACAGCCTCACTACTATTACAGCTCCAAGACTATTACAATTAATCTTATTTGCCCTTTATTCATATTTAAATCTGTCATAAGAAGTCCCCAACTTCCAAATCATTTCTCTTCCCAAGTCCCATTCTTTCTCAATGACTGAACCCTTTTCTACTCATTAACAGTCATAAGTAGCCATTAGCAAAATTCCCTAAATACTTAGTAATTTGAGCCTCACCCAAACTGGTCTTCCCTTGAGGACACAGCCTCCCAATGGTTCTCTACCACAGTATACCCTTCTTGGTACTCACTGCCAGTTCTAGTCCAGAGGCTGGCCCTCTTCAAAACCTTTACATTTTTCTTTTTGGTGGTTTAGGGGATGGAACCTAGGACCTTGGGTATGCAAGACAAGTAATCTGCTACTGAGCTACATCTGAAGACTAAGCTCTTAACTTTGGCTACGATGTTATCAAACAATAATATCTACTACTCCTTACTACAGGTATCTACAGACTGCAATATTCCCTTCATTTCTTGAAGAATTTAGCTCCTTGCTTACTACTATTCTCTCCAATCCATTTGCCACTATTTTTTTTTTTTTTTTTTTTGGTATTGGGGATTGAACTCGGGTCCTTGTGCTTGCAAGGCAGGCCACCGAACCGCTGAGCTAAATCTCCAGCCCTGTCACTATTCTTAATAATTTCAATATCTGCACTGATGAGATTTCCAACACTTTAGGCCTCACAGTTCACTGAGCTCCTTCTTATTGTCTCTCCACTTCACAATATCTCAGAAACTCAGCTGTAGGACTGTGTCATTAACAAAAACTGAAATTTAACTACGATTTAACTTCAAACATAATACTCTTAACTACCACCCCAATTTTTCATTTTACTAAAACCCAAGTCTAACAGTTCTTATAAAGAATCCATAATTCTCTTACCTTTCATCTTTCTTTACCTTTTGTGTACCCTTGTTTCCCTCCTAACTCAACAAAGACATGGTCTGTCATTACAATCATCACTTGCATTTATCTTTCAGTCCATTCCATTCTCCCTTCTCTTGCTTGGTCATTCTTGGTGGACAAAACTTCAAGATTGGTTTAATCTAATATTTTCTTTACTTCATTTCTGTAGCACACAATTAAATAAACTAAAGAAAGATCTGATTATTTCAAATCATCTTACTTTATACAACCATCATCTTCAAGTGCATCTTTGTTACTGTTCAGCAATCCCATTAAATTTCCTTTTCCTGCATTATTTTTAGTAACTATCACATACCTTCATTGTTCAATACTCTAACTCCTTCCTTCTCTCTGCACTCAGTTGTTGATCATACCTTCTGTTTTATAAAAAAACACAAATAGAAAAGGACTAAAAGTTCCCTACACCATATGTATCCATTACTTTTTCTGTGACCATATTCTCTGACTTTTTTTTTTGCTGTTACAATAGAAGAACTGTATGCCCATGTACTGAAGGCCACTTCCTCTACTTTTGCAAAAATAGCCCAAGTCCATTTATCTATTTCAGGACATAGTTCCTGCATTATTTATTTTTTGTTTTTTTCCCCCAGCTTAGCAGATTATTTCCAAAAGTATATGGCATGCTGTTTTTGTTTTTCTTGCCATTTTAAAGAAAAATGCTCTTTAGACTTCATTTTCCCTTTTAGCTTCTTCCTCATTTTTCTGTGATTCACCATAAGAAACCAAAACAGGTCAAACCATAAGTCTATAGTGACTTAGAAAAGGAATAGAGAAGGATCCCAGAATGCTAACAAATGTAGAAAGAATGGAAGAAATTGAAAATTACCATTTCACAATCAGCAATATACTCAGGCAGGGGTCATCAAAAATTGTGAAGCCACCTGGTTAAACACTGAAGAAAAGAGAATATTCACACACTATCTCTACACAAATTGCTTATCAGTTATAAAGGAGAAAATGTACTTTGACAATCAAGAAATCAGTTGAACACCACTTTAATTGAGTGATTAAAGTTAACAGCACCAACAATACTGCAAACTAACATTATACATCTCTTGATAAAGGGTAATGCAACACACACACACACACACACACACACACACCATACACATTATACACATCTCATATATATGGAGGATTCTTATCCAGAACTTTTGCATGAATTATAAAGAAAAACAATAGCAGATTGTGGGATTCATTAGTCAATTATTGTGCACACTTTAAAAATTATTAGATTCTGGATCAGGTAAGAACTACAAAGATTACTATGAGTAAGAAATTTGACTACTAATACTAAATTTTCTAGTCTGATAATGGCATTGTACGAGAAAGAAGGTCTTTCTTTTTGGATTTACTCTCAGAAGTGGTTTTTTTAGGGGTGAAATGTGATAAAGCTTGCAACTTTCTAATAGTCAAGTAATTTAGAACAAGGAGTTGCCTGTACTTGCTGTCTCCCATTCCCTGGACTAGTCACTTTGACCCCTCACATCACCAAAACTATTCAATATTACCAATGATCTCTACCTAGCTAAATCCAATGGTCCTTCTTAGTTTGTATTTTAAACTTTCACCTCCTTTCCCATTGGATATCCCACAACCTTGAATTTCTTCCTGCTTCTCTGGTAGATTTTTCTTAGGTGCTTTGGGCAGTCCTTTCTGTCTTCAATAAATCCTAGGGGGCTCTGTTGACCAGTTTTTGAACCTTTTTCAGTCTTTTCTACCTATATTCACTAACTTCTTGTTCTTATTCACTCAGAGTTCTACATAACGCAGATTCCTAAATTCATATCTGTAGCCCACACTCCTTCCTTGAACTTTTTTATATGTGCAACTAACTTCTTGGCATTTGCTTTGTAATAGGCATCTTAAACATGCCTATTACATGCCTATTACAAAGATGCTGATGTTTTCTTGAAAACTGTTCTACCCATCATTTTATTATTTCAGCGTTACTCTAACCACCTCTTGATTAATTTCTCCCATTTTGTCTTTGTTCCTGCTTCAATCTACAAATCAGCCAGAGTGACACTATTAAAAATAAAAATCAGATCTCACAGCTCCTAGCTCAAAACTTTCCAATGGTTTCTCTGAGAATTTCATATCCATGGCCTACAAGACCTTCATAAGAGGCTCAAGTTTCCCTGTTGACCTCATTTTTCTTTCAGTTTCTACATTTCAGCAACACTGCTCTCTGTTATTCTTCAAACACAATTAAAAAATTATAGCATCAAGGCTACTCATTCATTAATTTTCTGCTTGCGATGCACAGCTCATTCTCTGATCTCTGCTCACATACTTTTCTTACCATCTGTTTCTTCATTACTGGTATATTTAAAATATAAGGCCTCTGAGGTCAGGGATTGTTATTTTTTCACATGGTGTTTAGAATAAATCCTGGTACATAGTAGGTGTTGTTCAATAAGTATCTGATGGGTAATAAAGGAAAAGTTGGGGATACTGACGTATGTCTATTTTTTCTTTTGGTACTGGGGATTGAACCAAGGGTCTTCACACTGAGCCACATGCTCAGATCTTTTGAAATTAAAAAAAAAATTTTAGAGATAGAGTTTCACTAACTAAGTCGTTAAGTTGTCCAGGCTGAGCATGAATTTGTGATTCCCTTGTCTCATTCTACCAGAGTTTTAGGATTAAAGGAGTTTATCATCGTATCTAGCATCAAACATCTTTTTCAATCTATTAAACAAGAAACATCCAAGAAAAAGAGGACATTATATATAATCTCTTTGGAGATCAGTAAGATGGCATTATTCACATTCTGGATGGAATTTCATAGATAGTATTTATATTCAGCTTACACCATCTACTACAAAAAGGCAATAGAGCGATTAAAATAGAAAATATGTAAGAGATAAAACTGATATACTTGTACTCTTCATTTATATTTGTTACAAATTCCCTAATGAGGCACATTCATCAATGAAAACTTTATCTATCTATTTATTTATTTATTTCCGGTACCAGGGATCAAACTCAGGACCTTACACTTGTGAGGTAGGTGCGGCAGCACTGAGCTAAATACCCAGTCTTGATGAAAATTTTATATGCATCATCTTATCTACTAATTAGTGTGAGGCAGGCAAGGAACTTCAGCAAAAATTTGAGATACTAGATATGAACATGAAAAGAATGAATTATAACTTTGTTCTAAATTCCCAAAATCAACACTTTCACTGATTTATATATTTTTTTGAAACAGTCTCATTGTGTAGCTCAGGCTGGCCCTGAACTGCCTATGTAGCCCAGGCTGGCCTTGAAGTTGCAATGATCCTCCTGCCTCAGCCTCCCAAGTGCTGGGATTTCAGGGGTTCACAGCTATGCCCAGCATTTTTACTGATTTATAATCTCAATCAATAAGGCTGCATTATGACATCTATACAGAAACAAAGTACCAATAGGAAGAGTAGTTCATTCATTTCAGCTGTTACACTCATAAACCTGTTATCTATATCCTTTAATGTTTTGCAATTAAGGGATTAAACTGTACATGTTACTATATGGTTTAAACCAATGTACAAAGGAAGTTTAGTGCAAACTAAAAGTCCTTTTAAAACTCAAACTAAACTATATTCAACAAGTGTTAGTGATTAAGATCAGTTATTTTTCTAAAGAGCTTAATGCTTTGGAGATTCAGGCCACAGAAAAACCAACAAAAGATATAATCTCATAGTGACCCTCAGTGGTTTACTGAAGTATAATATCATAAAAATCTAAAGGTTCAACATAACTATTACTGAAAACATGTTTCTAAAGACACACATCTACAAAGATACATACATGATTTAGTACTTTTATAAATATCTCAAATTCAGCAAGAAAAGAATTATTATTCTCTTTCCAAAAGAGTAGAGTGATGTTCAAAAAGATTAGCTCAAAAACCTACACTGTATATATAGTATCTAAAAGACAATTTACCTTTTTACATTCACATGTACACATACATAATATAGGTAAGGACACCCCACTGGGCCCTTCAAAAATATAACGTAGGACTTTTTGTTTTAGGACTTTTGAAACATTTTAAATTGAAGTGTTCAATTGTGTATTTGAGAAAGCCAATTTTCCTCCATTTAACAAAAGTAAAAAATACATATCCAACAGTGATAATTCTATGAAATTGGCACTCATACTGATGCTGAAGGCATTATAAGCTAGTGTAGTATTTTTGGAAAAAAAAAAAACAAAACTTGGCCATAACCTCAATACATAAAAAGTATTCACGTCTATTCCTAGTTCTTCTATTTCTGGGAAGTTATCCTATGAAAATAATTTAAGTTATGAAAAAAGCTATAGATTATTTATAATATCTTAGACATTTGGCATCTGAGACTTAATATTTGAGGTTTTAACATTGGTAGTTTTAACAGTTTGTAAGAGAACCACAGGTTGATCCACAGCATATGTAAAGTTGCTGTGTGAGGGAGGAAGTCACGTAACTAAGTTAGCCTGACTGCCAGCATCTGCTTCTCACTGTGGCCTAGTTGCTTCTTACTAGTCTTCGCATGCATAAAAGTATTTCCAAAGTGGGGAAAAAGGAAAAACATCTGTGTTAAAAAGTTTTTAAACTTAAAAGGTCCTAAAAAGCAAACCAATTTGGTGATAAACAGTAAAGAGATATAAGAAAGAACTGATATATGTGGGTTTGGAATCTGTTCTATTTCTTTGTAATGCCATAGGTCTACTGTAGTGAAAGATTAGGAATATGGATAAATATTTGACAACATGAAAATGGTAAATTAAACTGCAATCCACCAAATCAGTGGTTAAATAAAGGTACAAACATTGTAACTTTTCATTTAGAATTTTCAAAATGCTTTATATTACATTAACATTATATCCACAAATAAAAAATTCAAGATAAAAATGTACTGCTTAGTAGAAATGTACTTCACTTCAGAAGTCAGCAGTACTGACAGTAAGAACACTAAGAAAAGAAAATCAGAAATTGAAATTCATTAATATGGGGATAAAAATTTTTATCTATCTATGAATTCTGCAGCCACAAATTTAATTAACTGAGGATTAAAGAAAATTAAAAAAAAACTGTACTGAGCATGTGAAGATTTTGTTTCTTGTCATTATTCCCTAAAAAAATATAGCATAACATTTTTACATAAAATTTACAATTGTATTAGGAATCATAAGTAATTTAGAAATGACTTAAAGCATACAAGAGGATACATGAATGTTACTATATTCAAGTATTAGGCCACTTTATATAAAAGACAAGCATTTTCAGATTTTGCTATTTGTGGGGGGTCCTGAACCAATCCCCCAAGGATATGCAGGGAAAACTGTATGTAAACAGCAGTAATCTTCAAAGAACAGTATTGGTTGCAAAACTACATACTAATTTGCCTGCGACTGTTGAACAAAACCATGTGTATGCTTTAGAACAATCCTTGTTTATCCTAGCTTTTATCTTTGTTTAGTTCTGACATTGTTTTAATTAGCATTGTACTAGTACTATAGTACTCTACTATGCCATATTTCTTTGACTACTGCAAAACTGAGATGCCAGTGGAAGACTATGTAATACATACTTTGTGTTAGTGAAGTCTTACAAGTTAAAAGTCTAAGAGGGATTATGAAAGAAAAGATCACTTGAGAATTAATTTAAAAAGCAGCATAATTTTAGAACAATGGTGCCTCAATTCAAATTGCTATATTTTGACAATACAGGAATCAAACCTAGCAAAGATCTACTTTCTCAGGAATAATTTGTAGGTAGTAAGTCAAAGAAACTAAGAAAACTGGCAAGAATCTAAATGCTAGTCCCAAAGTGAGTTAATTTCCT